TGGAGGGCCAGGAGACTGTGTTCGTCAGACCTCTAACCATTGACCAACCTGGTATGAGAGACTCTGTGAGTGTCGCGGGACTCTCTCCAGTGTAGCTCAATGGATCGCTGAGGTGCGCAAACCGTCACACCACGGTAAGGTCCAGTCTCTTCGTGGGTGAATGGAATGCAAACCTTGATCGCCCTTCGGAAGAAGAAATAAGGTACGAACTAGTCGTACTGAAACGTGAGAAGGCACCGGGACCGGACGGTCTGTATCCAGCCCTCTTCAAAGAAGGCGGAAAATCCCTGGTGCCCATCTGACAGCTTTCTGGTGCTACATGGAATAAAGAGAAGTGCCTGCAGAATAGGGCTTGTCGACAATTATCTTTATATTGAAAAATGGTACGCGGAAGCTGCGTGAAAACACCGTGGTTTCAGCCTGTCAGCTATGGCATCAAAGGTGCTCTCTGGTTTTATCCTTCGAAGGTTGACTGAACCCAAGGAGAGGCAGATCCGTTAAAACCAACCTTCGTTCCGTTCTGTAAGAGGATGCATCGACCGTATTTTCACCCTTTGGCAGCTTCTGGAACAGCGACCCTGCCAACACAACAACGCAACCAACAAAGGTTGTGTTTCTCGATCTGAAAGCTGCCTTTAACTCTTTAGGCCATCAGGCACTATGGCAGTGTCTGCGGAGCAAAAGAATCCACCATAAATTCTTGACCCAACTTATGACGGTGTACGCCAACTCCCGCAGCCCTGTGAAAGTCTACGGAAAGCTCTCTTCTGGGTTCACCACATCAAGTGGTGTCAGACAGGGCTGTTCTTTTTCACCTTTCCTCTTTAATCTCGTCATTGATACGATCATGGAAGACTTACTATCAGCCTCTAATGCCTGTGGGGCCAAATACTCCCTGGGCGTCTGCTCACGGCTATCGAGTATGCAGACGACATAGCTGTTCCTGGATACGAAGCCGGATGGAAAACCTGGCCGTTGCGAGCTGGGGGCGTCAAAAGGCTTTCAGTGTTTGACGACCGGTGTATTCAGAGCACTGCTCGAGTCTGGTAGGAACACCGGATCAGCAATGCTGAAGTACGTCGAATGGTTTTCGGAAATGAGCCAGAGGCGGTCAAACAACGACTTGGCAGCGAAGTGTAGAAGCCATTACCAGCAAACTCAGCCGCGCTGGTCACCGCCATCTTCCTGGATGGGGAATTCGAGGCGAGTCACATCAATGGTTAGAGACACTGTCAGACGTGGCCCAGTCGCGCCCTCAGTGACGCTCATGCATCCAAGCTATTGCCCTCCCCATTCTCTTACTTAACAGCCCACTGACAATGTTGTATTTACGCGCCAATCTGTCAGCTCCCGCCCCCAATTGGCAGCTACCTACCCTACCTCACCAAATCGTCGGTGAGCAAAACTGTGGCAGCTACAACCATGTACGACAAGTACGCGGTTCTTGTGGCTGACAGTGATGATGAATGATTTCTTGAGCTGTTCCGCGACCTCAGCTTTGGTGAAACTCAGGATACTCTCTCTGATGTTCAGTTATTAAACACCTCTATTCAGTATCCGTTACAAGTGCCTCAATTTGATCGAGGACTGACGGTGTTATTGCGTTTGCCGGAACTGCCGACTAGAAATGTGAACGTTCCAAGCTCAGCTCAGTGACAGTGAGCCAGTCCTGCTTTTCTCTGCGGTCTTCAGTTGTCCAAAGATGCAGAATCAGAACTCGTTTGCTCCACAGAATTGAACAGGAGGCTCATATGACGCTGCAGGGCATCACCGCCGAATGTCAACGCTTCATCCAATTAAAGTACGACACTGTTATGGTCAACCAGTCACTTGGCGATTCCGGCATTTGCGTCCATCCAATCACTTCCATCGTCTTAAGAAACTTCGTGAACGAACCAGATCGAGGACGTAGAAAACCGCTTAAATGTGGTTGGTATTCTGACGAGTGCCATTTCGTTGGTTATCGCCGGGTCAAGCGCCACCAATGTACCAGGTGCGGTGGTTGTGGTCACAGGGAAGATCAATATCAAACTCGGTTGCCACAGCCGCTGTCACGCTACCGTACAGCTCATGAATCCCGATCCAGCTAGGTGACGGCGAAATGCCTCAGTGGTTAGAGCGCGTATTTACTGACCGGAAGGTCTGGTTCGAACCCGACCTCTGCATCGACTTCTGTCCAGGCTTGGGCAACCTGGAAGTATCCCGGACGTCGTGCTTTCTTCGGGTGGCATGGCAACTAGACATCATAATTGTGTTATAGTTGAACGGTTTTTTCCAACTATGTGACGCCGGCATTCCGAATAGGGTTCGCTTGCCGAAGGATGTTTGCGACGGTGCGTATCAACAACAACAGTTCGTTTGTCACGCTTCTCATGGAATGAACGTGGAAGCGAGTCTTCAAACTTCACGTGAAGCCGACTGAATAATGTGTCCGCAATGTTTCTAGGGATAAGCGGAATTGACAGGCGATGTCGATTGCTCCATAATCTGCTGGTGCGTGACGGTCCAAACCAAATGCAGCTTGGCGTCGTGCCCCAAGCTTGATTTGGATTGGCGAGCTTAGTTTTTTAGAAAAACCGATTGATTATTGCAGTCCTGCGCGCACAACATCTGGGAGTGTCCTTTCACAAACTCTATTTTCGAAGCGTTCGCTTGAGGCCCTCCTGCAACGCCATGCACCCATTAGTGTCAACACTGATTTCACTGTCTTTGATGTGATTTGCACCTATATTTGCCAACAGGCTTTGACAGTGCACAAAAAGAACACCAGACTGTACTTGTTCAATGCCGGACCAGTTCTCAGGCTGAAATGCCTAATATCGTATGCGGCATTATCCTTTTGTGACCAGAAACGACCGATTGCAGAAGGTTGATGTTCTCCAACCGACCAACCGCTCTGCATGGACCGCACCGATCTCAATGGTGAAGGAGGCTAAGAGAGCTATCACCACCTTCTCCTCGAAAACGAGAACGATGTTGTCTGCCCATCCTAGATCGACAAGGTTTTCATCACAGGCTATTTGAACAGCAATCTTCTGAGTAGTTTGTTATGACTCAGTAGTTCATTCTCAAAATTTGATATTGGAAAGATAAGCCGAACACTTCTAAGGGTGGTTTAGCTGCCTCCCTGCACCAGCACCTAGAGACAATGCATTCGGCCGGATACTTAACTGCACATCCTGATGGGGGTTGTTGATGTTGTGTACAACAATGACACACGACAACAACAACAACCCTATCATGATGTGCAATTAAAGTTGAAATTGTACCCGGCCGAATGCATTGTCTCTCGGTGCTGTTGCAGGGGGGCATCTCGACTCCTCTCTAGGCTTGGGTAGCCTGGAAATGTCCTAGCTCTCATGGTTACTTCGGGTGAACTGACGGCTAGGCACAAAGGAGATGTCTCACCTGGACGATTGTTTTATTTTAATGCAATGAAATATCCTTTCAAAGGCACCAGGGCCGAACGTTTGTATCCGGCTTTCTTCGAAGAAGGTGGAGAGTCTCTGGCTATCAACATGAGAAGACCTACTGGTAGAGCAGACGGAGTGCCTTCAGAATGGGACACATCTACAGTCACTCCCGTTTTCACGAGGGGTAATCGAATAGTGTGAAAACCATCGTTGTGTGGGCCTGTTACCTGTGATATCAAAGGTGCCCTCTCGTCTCGTCATTCAAAAGTTGACTGCACACAAAGGGACACAGATCCATGAAAACCAATCTGGGTCCCGTGCTGAAAGTGGATGCACAAATCGCATACTCAATCTTCGCTGAAACAACTCGTGAGCGCGTGAATATCTTTGGTATGCTCCCGCCTGAGTCTGTCACATCCAGTGATCTTAGGTATCGTTGTCGTTTTCCTTCATCAACTTCAATATGCTTGTGGGAGACTCCCCTAACTGCTAACACCTTTGGGTTCGAAATGCTACTAGGGCGTTCGCTTACAGATATGGAGTACGCAGATGATGTACCTCCCTGGAACCGGAAGGTCAGAGTTTTATGGCTCATAATGTCCTAGTTTTCCTAACGTGTGTCGAGTTATCTTCCGCTGAGGTGATCGTTGCACCGTCCAGCCAATTCTGAATAGCAAAGCCGTCAGGAGTAGAGTGCGTAGCAGGTGGGAATAAAATCGTTGTGAAAAGCATTGATGCTGTCAATTTTTATTATTTTTTTATTGTCAATGCGAACCACCTTCAGGGATGGGGTCAAGTGACCCTCTGTTTGTATATCTGGAGATACTGAAAAATGTGGTGGCCAGTAGATCTCAGTCGGGTTCCTCCTTTCACTCTATATGCTGATTGCTATTGGATGTTGGAGGCTCTGGCACCTCGTGTGTCTTGAAAACTGACACCAGGCTCCTCTCCGTCACTCCTTTCTTATTTTCATTACAGGAAATCGTTTGAATAAACTGGTATGTTCATAGGCATTGATGTGCTAGTTTTCCACCATGGTGACCAGGAAGTGACAACGCAGTTGATTCATCAGTAGTCGACTTCACAAACGGACATTGATGATTTTCCCGTTTCTTCCTTTTTTCGAGACAATTTGTAGGCAGTTTCTTATTTGTATGGCAGGGGTGATGAAAACTCATAACCGAATGATTCCTTTGTGGCTTATTTAAGTCACTCGGTAACAGCAGCTGTTGTGTAAAAAGGTGTTTCTGTTGACGGTATCGGCTTTAAACAGTAAATGAACAGTAATTTGTTGTGGAAATCTTTCAATTTCCAGCAACAGAGTAGATCATTCCGTGGCGGTGCGACAGTACACGAAATTGATGACCTTAGAACTGTTTTTCACTCGAATTTTCGAGTCAGCATCCCGTGGTATCTTTCACTTTTCCTGTCCTTCATCTTCACCTCTATCACTATCCATTTTTCAGCATTGCTTTCTAGTCGACTATCTCACTGGTGCGTCCTGGTGTAATGCCTGGGCATACAGATTCCGACAGACACTCGAAATCTTACCATAAACGCAGTGAGAGTGGGAGCGGAAGAGAACATACAAGCACATTTATAAAGCCAGAGCCACCCTCTGAAGATGAAAGACGATCAAGTGGACGATCACATGATCACCGACATCACAGTAGCCGAGGAATGTCAAAACGAGGTAGCTCTCGGTCCCCACGTGGTGGACGACTGAACGCGCCTGTCATTATAAAAGAGGAAGAGGGACGAAAACGGCGACGCTTGCATTCTCCTGTTGTTCTGCCAGATGATGATCAAAGGCGTCGTGACGATAGAAGGGCAGAACCGGATTTTTCCCGAAGTGGTTTACTCGATCAAACAAGTAGAGCGCCCGTTCAGAGGCAGACGGCCAATTTCGGTTTATCAGGTTCGTGCCACTTCGGAATTTAATTTCCCGTATTTTTGCTAACTGTCGTCATCTGGTTCGCCTTTTATGTGTTCGGTGATAGTGTTTCAGGCGTGATGTCCCACTGCACGAGGTATTAAGTTTTATTTTCGTGTAAAGTTGTTTTTAGGGTAGTGGTTGTCAGTTGCATCTCTGCTCTTCTCTCCACTCTTTTCTTTGCACTGCTGATTGTTTCTTCATTCGTGAGAGTTCAATTAAACCGGAAGTTTGTAAACATAATACGTTCTTTGTATTCTCAGACTTCCGGACGTGTGAGAGTGTACGGAGAGCTCTCCAAAAGTTTCCG